TGGTGGTGGTTTTAAGCATCTGAAAAACTCAGAAAATATACATGAGATACTATTATACAGGTGTTTCAGAGAGGAGCCGCAGCAGGGAACGCTGGGGAGGGGTCTGACCCTGGAAGGCCCCCCAGGGCCCTGCTCGGTCACAGACACGCTTGTGCGTGCCCACCAGCACACACGGGCTCTCTGTGCACATGTACAGAAAGTCGCCACCGCCCTGGTAGCGCTCTGGTGCAGGGTCAGGCATGGAGAGGCTCATTTTCTAAGACTACCACCTTTGTAGCCACATCTCCAAGAAGAGGGAAGATTATAAACTAAGAGCACTGTGCATGGCATGTGGCTGCAGGAGCCCTTGTGAGAGAGACCAAACAGGCCTGGAAAGCTGAGAGACACGAGGTAAAGTTACTCCACGAGAGCTAGGAACAAGGTGGAAAGTCAAAGGGTGGTGTGTGGCAATCTCTGTACGTGGAGCCTGGGGACAGGGGAGAGGGGGAGCTTGCAGGGGACACTGATGGGCATTTTGTGTTCCCGAGAATCAGCATGGATTAAGATGAGTGCTGACCTCAACAGCAAGGAGGAGGAAGGCCAAGTCAGAACAGAGAGGGTGTCCTGGGGAGGCAGGTGAAGTCGAGCTGTGGGTCCCAGGGCCAGGGCTCCGGCCTCTCCTCGGAGGAGGCTGCACTGGTGAGTCTCCTGGAACCAGGCAGGGTCTCGGTGCCCAGGGCCAGCCTGCGCTCCCAGGGGAGGCCAGGAGCAGCTCCCTGTGACACTGGGATGCAGATGGCAGGGAATCTTGGCTTTCCCAGCAGGGGTGACTAAAGAATGACAAACAGTTTTCTTTAAAAGAGAAGCCGGTGGAGGACTTTTGGAGATGGGGGTCCACTCTACTGCACTGATTTCTGAGATTCTATTTTATTGTGAGGCTGTGCTTAAAAAAAAACATTTGGCCATAAAAAAGCCGAAGGCTTCAAACTCTCCATGGTCAGTGTTGACTTGGTGGCCACCACCTAAATGATGACAGAGCACCTGTCTCTTTAAACTGCACATGACACCCAGATTCTGCCGCTCCAGCCCTCCCGACCTGTGTCCTCTTCTCCTGTTATCAAGGGACCCAACACACACCCTGAGGACGCTGCTTAAATTCAGGCTGTATTTAGTGTCGCCTCATGTTTTATGTAAAGTCCAGGTAGTAAATGTTTTAGGCTTCGTGGGCCATGTGCTCTGTCTGAGCTGCTCAGCTCTGCTGTCGGAATGGGAAAGCAGTCAGAGACCACAGGTGGACGAGTGAGCGTGGCTGTATTCCAATAAAACTTCATTTTAGACACTGAAATTTAGATTTCATATAATTTTCACGTCTCAAAATATTATTCTTTCTTTGACTTTTTTTTTCAACCATTAAAAATTTAAAAACCATTCTTAGCTGGTGGTCCAGACAAAAACAGAAGGCAGGTCAGCTTTGGCCCATGGGGTGTGGTCTTCCAACCCCCACCCCACTGTATCCCAGTGCGAGGAATCCCAAGGGGATGAACCTCACGTTGGTCAGGCAAGTTTCGGGTATGTGACACTGCACCACTCAGCCACGCAGGCTCCCTTTGTAACAGGAGAGACAACTCTGACTCCACATTAGATCTGTTCCTTTGGCTTTAACTTGTGCCCTGTTTTCTAGGCTGTCTTGCTGGCTCTGCACCTTTTGTAAAAGAATGTTGCCTTTAGCCTGAAATATGCAGGAGAGCCTACTCTCAAGGCTCTGACCTTTAAGGACATTAACACTTTTGCACGTCTATAAAGATGACAAGTTGTAGAATAGAAAATAACTTGTTTGTTTTGTTAGAGGTTTTACAGGGGCACCAGGACCTGACCCACGTGGACAGCTGCAAGGACAAAGGATTCCAAGAACAAAGGATTCCGACACCAAGAAGTTTACAAAAACCAACCACACCCCCTCACCTTTTTAGTATAAAAGGAGCCTGAATTCTGACTTGGGGAAGATGGTTCTCCAGGACATTAGTCTGCCATCTTCTTGGTCTGCTGGCTTTCTAAATAAAGTCATTATTCTTTGCCCCAACACCTTGTCTCCTGTTTTATTGGCCTGTTGTGCAGCAAGCAGAAGGAGTTTGGACTCAGCAACACCTGAATGGTCTTTTGAAGTACTTGATCCAGATAACGTCACAGGATAGGGTGGGATTGTCCAGCCACAGCTTATGATACCAAAGTAATGCCAGGAGTCCCAGGAGCTGAGGAAAATTCTAGGCTTTTATCGTTTCTCCTGCTTAATAAACTTGTCCTCCCCCAGTGAGGCCTGTTGAGCAAATGACACACAGTTGTGTAATCCAGAGCCACCCCCGGGGGGGTGGCGTGATCCAGCTCCCCACTCTTCACAGCAGTTACATCCTATGAATGAGTATCCAGGAACCCGGAGTCAGTGACCCTGAACCACTTCTCTTGGGGAAACACAGAGGTAGCTTCTCCAGACACAGCATTTTGGTCAAATATACCCTTGTCTGGTGTGTGGTTCTGTTTAGACACTTCATTTCATATTTGTCGAGCATCATGGTCACAGTGCTGACACAGGCGGGGAGGAAGCTCACCTAACATGTGTTTTCTCCATGGATCACATCAAACCTCTTTGAGCTTAGAGACACTAGACAGCGCTTCGGCTCTTCCCTTAGGGGTGATTTTTATTTATTTTTATTTTATTTTATTTTTTATAAATATTGTTTTCTTCTTTTTTTATTAATACATTTTATTTATTCTAGAGCAGTTTCAGGTTCACAGCAGAATTGAGCAGAAAATACAGAGAGTTCTCACATAGCCCTCCCCACTCACACATATATCCTCCCCTACCCTCAACATCCCTCATCAGTGGGGCATATTTGGTACAATCAGTGAACCAACATGGGCACATTATTATCAACGAAAGTCCATAGTTTACATTAGGGCTCACTCTTGATGTTGTACATTCTGTGGGTTTTGACGAACGCATACTGACATGTAGCCACCGCTATAGTATCATACAGAGTAATTTCAATGCCTTACAAATCCCTT